TTTATTTTATTTTAGAGACAGAATCTTGTTCTTTTGCTCAGGCTTCAGAACTATGACGTGATTATAGCTTAGTGCATCCTCAAATTCCTGGGGATAAGCCATTCTCCCGCTTCAGCCTCCTGAGTAGCTGGGACTACAGATGCACATTCCCATGCGTGCTAATTTATTTTTTGTAGAGACCTGCTATGTTTCCTAGGCTGGTGTTGAACTCCCGAGCTCAAGTAATCCTCATGCCTTGGTCTCCTAAAAGTGTTGGAATTGCAGGTGTGACCCATTGTGCCCTACCCTGTGTTTAACTTTTGAAACTATCAACTGCAACATTTTACTTTTCCACTAGCAGTGTGCAAAATTTATAATTGCTACACATCCTTGGCAATGATGTTTTTTGTTTTTAAATAGCCATTCTGATGAGTGTGAAGTGGCATATCATTGTAGTTTTTTGCTTTTTGTTTTTGTTTTGGATACAGGATCTCACTCCGCCATCCAGGCTGGAATGCAGTGGCATAATCAGTGATCCAGCCTTGACCTCCCAGACTCAAGTGATCCTCCCACCCCAGCCTCTCCAGTAGCTGGGACTATAGGCACATGCCACCACACCCAGCTTTTTTTTTTTTTCTGAGACAGGATCTTGCTTTGTCACCCAGGCTGGAGTGTAGTGGTGCAATCATGGCTCACTGCAGCCTTGACCTCCTGGGCTCAAGCAATCCTCCTACCACAACCTCCCAAGTAGCTGGAACTATAGGCACATGCCACCATATCTGGTTAATTCTAAAAAAAAAAAAAAAAAAAAAAAAAATAGTAGAGATGAGGTCTCACAGTGTTGCCTATGGTGCTGACCAGTTTTAACAGTAATCACATTTGCGGGGTTGTGGTTTCACCTCCAAAGGCCACATATCTTACTAGCATCACATTGGGGGTTAGGATGTCAACATATGAATTTTAGGAGACAGCAGCATTCAGACTATAGCACTAGTTAAGGAAACTTTAATGCTGTATTTTAATTTTAATGTATTATTATTGCTTAAACTACAATGGTATTAATGTGGAGACATGTTTCTGTATGGGTGATCAAGTTATAATAGTTGACCTTAATTTAATTCCCAACACAAACCTAAAATTTTCCTTCAAATGCAAATTAAAAATATTATGAAATGAGGATATGTCTGTTGCAGACATTTGTTTTAAAAGAGGAAAAAAGGGCAAACAAGCCTAGAGAAAATATTGTCACCACTACATATACTCTCCTTGGCTTATATTCTTTTAAAAAATTCAGTAAAGTTCACTGGGCATGGTGGCTCACACCTGTAATCCCAGCACTTTGGGAGGCCGAGGCAGGTGGATCACCTGATGTCGGGAGTTCAAGACCAGCCTGACCAACATGGAGAAACCCCATCTCTACTAAAAATAAATAATTGACTGGGTGTTGTGGTGCATACCTGTAATCCCAGCTACTCAGGAGGCTGAGGCAGGAGAATTGCTTGAACCTGGGAGGCAGATGTTGCAGTGAGCTGAGATGGTGCTGTTGTACTCCAGCCTGGGCAACAAGAGCAAAACTCCGTCTCAAAAAAAAAAAAAAAAAAAAAAAAATTCAGTCAAGTTTTCTGGAATTGTAGTTTTTATTATCTGTCCAATTGCATTGATTTTCTTCTTCAGGAATTCCTATACCTTTTATGTTGGATCCTGAGAGACTTAATCAGATTATTTCTCTTGAATACTTTTTTTCTTTCTTCATTGGAGCTAGATGGTGGAACTTTTAAGTTTCCTTTTTTTTTTCTTAGACAAGTTTACATGAGGAATAAAATTTATATAAACTAGTTCTTAACAACCTATAAAGAGATGTAGACTCCCACACAGTAAAGTAGGAGACTTAAACATTCCACTGTCAATATTAGATCAGTGAGATAGAAAATTAACAAGGATATCCAGGACTTGAACTCAGATCTGGACCAAGCGAACCTAATAGACATCTACAGAACTCTCCACCCCAAATCCACAAAATACACATTCTTCTCAGCATCACATTGCACTTACTCTAAAATTGACCATGTAATTGGAAGTAAATCACTCCTCGGCAAATGCAAAAGAACAGAAATCATAATAGTCTCTCAGACCACAGCACAATCAAATTAGAACTAAGGATTAAGAAACTCACTCAAAACCACACAACTACATGGAAACTGAACAACCTGCTCCTGAATGACTACTGGATAAATAATGAAATGAAGACAGAAATAAAGATGTTCTTCGAAACCAATGAGAATGAACACACAACGTACCAGAATCCCTGGGACACATTTAAAGCAGTGTCTAGAGGGAAATTTATGGCACTAAATGCTCACATGAGAAGCAAGGAAGGATCTAAAATCAACACCCTAATGTCACAATTAAAAGAACTAGAGGAGCAAGATCAAGCAAATTCAAAAGCTAGCAAAAATACAAGAAATAACTAAGATCAGAGCAGAACTGAAGGAGATAGAGACACACACACACAAAAAACCTTCAAAAAAATCAATGAATCCAGGAGCTGGTATTTTGAAATCAGCAAAACAGACCACTAGCCAGACTAATAAAAAAGAAAAGAGAGAAGAAATAGATGCAATAAAAAATGATAAAGGGGATATCACCACTGAATCCACAGAAATACAGACTACCGTCAGAGATTACTACAAACACTTCTGTGTACATAAACCAGTACATTTAGAAGAAATGGATAAATTTCTGGACACTTACATCCTTTCTTACATCCTCCTAAGACTAAACCAGGAGGAAGGTGAATCCCTGTTTAGATCAATAACAGGGTCTGAAGTTGAGGCAGCAATTAATAGCCTACCAACCAAAAAAAAGTCCAGGACCAGACAGGTTCACAGCTGAATTCTACCAGAGATACAAAGAGGAGCTGGTACCATTTCTTCTGAAACTATTCCAAACAATACAAAAAGAAGGAATCCTCCCTAATTCATTTTATGAGACCAATATCATCCTGATACCAAAACCTGGCAGAGACAAAACTAAAAAGAAAATATCCATGGTCAATATCCATGATGAACATTGATGTGAAAATCTTCAATAAAATACTGGCAAACCAAATGAAACAGCACATCGGAAAGATTATCCCTTATAATCAAGTAGGCGTCACCCCTGGGATGCAAGGCTGGTTTAATATACACAAATCTATAAACGTAATCCATCATATACACAGAACCAAAGACAAAAACCACCTGCTTATCTGAATAGATGCAGAGAAGGCCTTTGACAAAATTCAACAGCCTTTTATGCTAAAAACGCTCAATAAACTAGATATCGATGGAATGTATCTCAAAATAACAAAAGCTATTTATGACAAAGCAACAGCCAATATAATATTGAATGGGCAAAAACTGGAAGCATACCCTTTGAAAACTGGGACAAGACAAGTGTGCCCTCTCTCACCACTCCTGTTCAACATAGTAGTGGAAGCTCTAGCCAGAGCAATCAGGCAAGAAAAAGAAATAAAGGATATTCAATTAGGAAAAGAGGAAATCAAATTGTCTCTATTTGCAAATGACATGATTGTATATTTAGAAGACCCCATCATCTCAGCCCAAAATCTCCTTAAGATGGTAAGCAACTTCAGCAAAGTCTCAGGTTACAAAGTCAATGTGCAAAAATCACAAGCATTCCTATACACCAATAACAGAGCCAAATCACGAGTGAACTCCCATTCACAATTGCTACAAAGAGAATGAAATACCTAGGAATACAACTAACAAGGAATGTGAAGGACCTCTTCAAGGAGAACTACAAACCACTGCTCAACGAAATAAGAGAGGACACAAACAGATGGAAAAACATTCCATGCTCGTGATTAGGAAGAATCAATATCGTGAAAATGGCCATACTGCCCAAATTAATTTATACATTCAATGCTATCCCACCAAGCTTCCATTAACCTTCTTCACAGAACTGGAAAAAAAACAACTTAAACTTCATATGGAACCAAAAACGAGCCCACATAGCCAAGACAATCCTAAGCAAAAAGAACAAAGCTGGAGGCATCATGCTACCTGACTTTGAACTATACTACAAGGCTACAGTAATCAAAACAGCATGATACTGGTACCAAAACAGAGATATAGACTAAAGGAACAGAACAGAGGCCTTGGAAGTAACGCCGTACATCTACAACCATCTGATCTTTGACAAGTCCAACAAAAGCAATGGGGAAAGGATTCCCTATTTAATAAATGGTGTTGGGAAAACTGGCTAGCTGTATGCAGACAGCTGAAACTGGACCCCTTCCTTACAACTTATACAAAAATTAACTCCAGATGGATTTAAAGATTTAAACATAAGACCTAACACCATAAATATCCTAGAAGAAAACCTGGGCAATACCATTCAGGACATCCACATATGCAAGGACTTCATTACTACAACACTAAAAGCGATGGCAACAAAAGCCAAAATAGACAAATGGGATCTGATTAAACTTAAGAGCTTCTGCACAACAAAAGAAACTATCATTATAGTGGACCAGCAACCACGAAGGAAGCATTGAGATACCATCTCACATCAGTTAGAATGATGATCATTAAAAACTCAGGAGACGGCTGGAGAGGATGTGGAGAAATATGAATGCTTTTATACTGTTCGTGTGAATGTAAATTAGTTCATCCATTGTGGAAAACATTGTGGCGATTCCTCAAGGATCTAGAAATAGAAGTACCATTTGACCCAGCAATCCCAATACTGGGTATATACCCAAAGGATTATAAATCGTTCTATTTAAAGACACGTGCACACATATGTTCATTGTGGCACTGTTTACAATAGTGGAAACCTGGAACCAACCCAAATGTCCATCAAGGATAGACTGGATGAAGAAAATGTGGCACATAAACACCATGGAATACTATGCAGCCATAAAAAAGGATGAGTTCATGTCCTCTGCAGGGACATGGATGAAGCTGGAAACCATCATTCTCAGCTAACTGACACAAGAACAGAAAACCACACACCACATGTTCTCACTCATAAGTGGGTGTTGAACAGTGAGAACACATGGACACAGGCAGGGGAACATCACACACTGGGGTCTGTTGATGGGTAGGTGCTAGGGGAGAGATAGCAGTGGGTGGGAGCATTGGGGAGGGACAACATTAGTAGAAATACCTAATGTAGATGACAGGGGGATGGATGCAGCTAACCACTGTGGCATGTGTATACCTGTGTAACAATCCTGCATGATCTGCACATGTACCCCAGAACTTAAAAAAAAAAATTTACAAGAAATTTCACTTTTCGTCTTCTGTTTCTCTCTCTCTTTTTTTGTTGCAATATACTGATTTTTTTTTTTTTTTTTTTTTGAGACAGAGTCTTTGTTGCCAGGCTGGAGTGCAGTGGTGTGATATCCGTTCACTGCAACCTTCGGTTCACTGCAACCTCCGCCTCCCAGGTTCAAGCAATTCTCCTGCCACAGCATCCCGAGTAGCTGGGATTACAGGCGTGCACCACCATGCCCAGCTAATTTTTGTATTTTTAGTAGAGATAGGGGTTTCACCATTTTGCCCAGGATGGTCCTGATCTCTTGACCTCATGATCCGCCTGCCTAGGAATCTCAAAGTAGTGGGATTACAGGCATTAGCCACTGTGTCTGGCCGGAATATACTGATTTTTTAACAGCTTTATTAAAAGAATAATTGACATAAACTGCATAGTTACAGCATACAGTTTGATAACTTTTGAGATCCATGATCTCCATGAAACCATCAGTGCAAATGATTTAGGGAATGTAACAATCATGCCCCAAGGTTTTTCTTTGCTGCTTTGTAATTCCTATTTCTTTCCCTTTTCCTCACATTCCTAGTCTATCATGAACCTGCTTTCTGTTATTATTGGTTTGTTTGCATTTTCTAGAATTGTATGTAAATGGATTTTTGTGGTCTAATTTCTTTCCTTCAGTGTCACTTTGAAATCCAATTATATTATTGCTTGTTTCAGTACTTCGTTCTTTTTTATCATTCAGTACGATTGCATTGTATGGATATATCACAAGTTTTAAAATCCATCCACCTGTTGATGGCTATATTAGCTCTCTATTGCAATATAACAGTTTATCTAAAAACTTAGTGGTATAAAACAACATGCATTTATTACCTGACAGTTTCTGGGCCAGGAATTTGGGAGTGGCTTAGTTGGGTGACTGGCTCAGGGTTTTTCATAAGATTGCTGTCAAGATGTTGGATGCCTTGAAGCCATTTGAAGGCTTCACTGCAGTATCCAATTCAAAGATACTTCTATGGCTGTTGGCCAGAGGCCTCAACCTCTGGTCTTCTGACCAAGGATCTTCTTTGCAGGAATGCTTAAGTGTTCTTTCTTTGTTTTGTTTTGATTTTTTTTTGAGATAGTGTCTCACTATGCTGCCCAGGCTGGAGTGTAGTGGTGCAATCTTGGCTCACTGCAACCTCCACCTACCAGGTTTAAGCGATTCTCCTGGCTCAACCTCCTGAGTAGCTGGGAGTACAGGCGCCTGCCACCACACCCAGCTAATTTTTGTATTTTTAGTAAAGATGGGGTTTCATCATGTTGGACAGGCTGGTCTCGAATTCCTGACCTCAAGTGATCTGCCTGCCTACGCGTCCCAGAATGCTGGGATTACAGATGTGAGCCACCATGCTTGGCCAAGTGTTCTTATTACATAGAATCTGGTTACTACTAAAACAAGTGATCTAAGAGCAGCATGGGCAAAGAGGAAGCTACAATGCCTTTTTTTTTTTTTTTTTTTTTGAGACAGTTTCACTGTGTTGCCCAGGCTGGAGTGCAGTGGTGTGATCTCAGCTCACTGCAACCTCTTGTCTCCAGGGTTCAAGTGATTCTTGTGCCTCGGCCTCTCGAGTAGCTGGGATTACAGATGTACGCCACCACACCCAGCTGATTTTTGTATTTTTAGTGGAGATGGGCTTCACTATGTTGGCGAGGCTTGTCTAATTCCTGGCCTCAAGTGATCTGCCGCCCTGGTCTCTCAAAGTATTGGGATTACAGGCTTGAACTACTGCTCCCAGCTGGAAGCCTCAATGCCTACCTGGTCTCGGAAGTCACACATTGTCACTTTCCTCATATTATGTGCTAAAAATAAGTCACTCTATCCAGCCCACACTCAAAGAGTAAAGAATTAGGGGCTGCTTTTGAAGGGAGCAGTATCAAAGAATTTGTTGTAATATTTTAAAGCTACTGCAATGGACTTTGGGGTTGTTTTTAGATTTTGGCTGTTTCAAATAAAATGCTTATAAAATATGTAAAAATATTTGTAGACATATAGTTTTATTTCTTTGTGTAAATTGCTAGGAGGAAAGCGGCTAGTTTGTAAGATAGTGTTATGTTTAAATTTTTACTCCTTTTGTAGTGAAGACTTAAGATATTATCTGTAATACCTATTTGTTCTTGGATTTCTTCTGGTTTAGTACATTTTAAATTTTATTCTACTTAAGTTTTGTCACCTCATTTCTGGGTTTTTATTCTGAATGTTTTATCTTGTTTTGAAATTGTAGTTTACCATTTTATGTGTTTTGTGTGTCTTTGATGTACTTTTTTAGTGTGTGTTAGGATGTTATTCTCCTTAGTTTTTCCCTAATAATGATTTTATGGGATTTAGCTTTCATACCTTTCTGTTGCTTATTTTTATGTCACAGTCCTCTGAAATGTTAGAAGGAGGCAGGATTTAGGATACTTTTTTTTTTTTTTTGAAAGAATGTGGGCTCTCACTCTGTTGCCTGGGCTGAAATGCAGTGGTGTGATCATAGTTCACTGCAACCTCAAACTCCTGGGCCCAGGCAATCCTCCTGGTTCAGCCTCCTGAGTAGCTGGAACCACATTTGTGTGCCACCATGCCCAGCTCACTAAAAAGGTTTTTTTAAGAGATGGGGTCTTGCTATGTTGCCTGGGCTGGTCTTGAACTCCTGGGCTCATGAAATCCTCCTGCCTTAGCCACTAAAAGTTTGGGATTACAAGTGTGAGCCATGGCACCCAGTGAAGCATAGCTTTTGTACCTTGTGTTATTTTCATATGGCTTATAAAAATAGGGCCACTTGTGTGTTTGTCTTACAGATTCTTCCCAACTTTGCTCCATCTGGACCTTTTCTGTGTCTCTGCCACCCTTGTGCTGCTGAGTAGATTCCACTCCCAACATTTTATCAGTGAGGGGCCCAGAAGGGAGTCCACGGTGACCAGTTTCGGGTGGCCCAGGCTGCTCCCATCTCTTCACATCTTCTTACGGTGGAGCCCCTGCTCTCACCTAGATTCAGGCGCTGTTCTCAGTTCTGTCATACACTCTTCTCAGATCTGTCGTCTGCTCTGCTTCCTAGGGAGCACTGATGTCTAGGTTCTCAGGGCCTCCTTGGCTCACTTACTTTCCTTGGCGTCTTTCCTCTCAGATACTGATCCATGCTAGACTTTGGGAGTTGGTGGTTTGTCTTTACCCACTTGCGTCTTGGAGTTTGCTGATTAATTTTGTTTCTGTGTTTTTGACTTTGCTGTCTAGTTACTCTTTATGTGAAGATTTAGAGACATTCAAAAACTATGCCTTTTCTGATGGCACTCCTAGGTTTTCAAATTGTAAATCGTAAACTTAATGTCTATTTAATGGAGTTGATTTTGTTTGTTTTGTTTTTTCTTTTAATAATCATCTCCACAGAGAAAAAGGAGTTGGGATATAGAATGCCGATCCTTTCCAGGAGAAAGACCACTGCAGTTCAGAAGAGCAGGACTCAGGACACCTGAGGCAGCTGCCTCCCTCTCTGAAGCATGGCTTAGGTGTGGAGAAGGATTTCAGGACACTTCTGGGACTCTGGTAAAGTATCTGTAGAATTGTTTTCCCTGAATGCCAGGAGGAAATCCTATCTGAGTGTTCAAAACATTGTAATTACATTTCATTGAAATCCCTCTCTTATTCTTTCAGGTCACTGTAATTGGTGCACTCCTTTTACTTCCCTTTCATTCCTTGAATAATCGTAGCAAGTTAATATTCACTTTTTTTTTTTTTTGGAACACAGTCTCACTTTGTTGCCCAGACTGGAGTACCATGGCATAATCATAGCTCACTGCAACCTCGATCTCCCGGTCTTAGGTTATCTTGCCTCAGCCTCTTGAATAGCTGAGACTACAGTTATATACCAGCATGCCTAGCTAATTTTTTTTTTTTTTTTTTGAGATGGAGTCTCACTTTGTCACCCAGGCTACAGTGCAGTGGCACTATCTTGGTTCGCTGCAACCTCCGCCTCCCGAGTTCAAGCAATTCTCCTGCCTCAGCCTCTTGAGTAGCTGGGATTACAGGTACATGCCACCACACCCAGCTGATTTTTGTACTTTCAGTAGAGACCAGGTTTCACCATGTTGGCCAGGCTGGTTTGGAACTCCTGACCTCAGGTAATCCACCCACCTCGGCCTCCCAGAGTGTTGGGATTACAGACGTGAGCCACTGTGCCCGTCTGCCTGGCTAATTTTTCAAAAACTTTCTATAGAGACAGGGTCTTGTTGTGTTGCCTAGGCTGGTCTCTAACTCCTGGCTGCAAGAGATCCTCCCACCTCCACCTCCCAGAGTGCTGGGATTACTGGCATGAGCCACAGTACCTGGCTATACTCACTTTTTTTTTTTTTTTTTTTTTTTTTTTGTGACGGGGTTTCGCTCTTTTTACCCAGGCTGGAGTGCAATGGCGCGATCTCGGCTCACCGCAACCTCCGCCTCCTGGGTTCAGGCAATTCTCCTGCCTCAGCTTCCTGAGTAGCTGGGATTACAGGCACGCGCCACCATGCCCAGCTAATGTTTTGTATTTTTTAGGAGAGACAGGGTTTCACTGTGTTGACCAGGATGGTCTCGATCTCTTGACCTCGTGATCCACCCGCCTCGGCCTCCCAAAGTGCTGGGATTACAGGCTTGAGCCACCGCCCCCGGCCTTATACTCACTTTTTAAATTCACATGCAGAACCTTTCTGCTTCTTTGTTTGTAAATGAAGGATATTTACTAAGAATGT